CAAATATGTTATTTAACAGAATCATACAAACAGGTATGGATAACAGTAAGCATGGGTACAAATAACAGAAAAAAAAATACTCAAAAATAATTTACCTGTAAGCTGAAAAACTTGGGTAAACAAGGCCTGACATAACAATAAGTATGAACTTGGCCCAAGCTTTGAACCAAAAAAAAAAAAAAAAAAGGAAGCTAGGTCTTCAGAACAGAGTTTAGAAAGAATCCAATTTGGTAAGGCAGGAAAGTTGTAGGTGCAAGGGTGAGAAGAAAAATGAGTAAAGGAAAATCAGTTTGCATGGTCACATAGATTAAGAAATACAGGTTAGGCATGATGGCTCATGCACCTAGCAGTTTGGGAGGCCATGGCAAAAGGCTTACTTGAGCACAGGCGTTTGAGGCCACGATCATCTATCATCGTGCTACTGCACTCTAGCCTGGGCAGACAGAGTAAGACCCTGTCTCAAAAAAAGAAAATAAGAAGAGAAAGAAAGATTAAGAAATGGGCCATAATTGAAGGAGCACTCTGACTATCTTACTTCTTTCTTTAAATCTACTTTACTCTTCCTTTTCTGAAGGCAGATTTCCTCTATTATTCAATCCACACAGCATAACGTGACCATAGCTCAAATCCTAAACTGTCACATCTCCTCTATTCAAGAACAAATATCACTTTACCTGGCCATGCCCTGCCTTCCTCAAAGTCCCCTGTGTGAAAGAGCAGAGATTTTATGAAAGAAGAGAGACAAGAGCTGTTTTTTTCTTGGAAGTTTCTCTTTTAAGCATAAGCAAAGGATCCACATACTAAAATCAGTTCTGTCAAGGTGGAGAGGAATTCTACGAAGCATACGCAAGATGAAGAAAAGTGTTGGCACTTTGGACTCCAGAGAACACAGGGCTGCCTGTCAACAGCAGCTTGGAGATTATCAGTGCCCTGACATTAGCATCAGTCCTGTCAAAGCAGACACTAGCAGAACAGTAGAGATAAGCAGCCCAGATCTAAAGAGGAAAAAATGGAATATTCTGTCCATCAGGGAGAGGGCAGAGAACTGGTGTAGGAACTTTCTGGGGACTCTAAATAGGAATTGTAGTAAGTGATAATAGCAGAGATTTCTGTTCTGCCAGGACAAGATAGGGAAGTGAAGAAGAAAGGGTACAGTGAGAAGAAACCTTCCAAAAAAGACTTTAAATATTTTTATTTCTCCTGCTTCCTGCAAAGCTCATAGCTTACCCTCCCCTTCACCTATGCTCCCTTAATATTTTATAGTGAAAAATCCTGTCTCTAGCAGTCTCCACAGCTGCTAGAGAACATTATTCCACTAACATTTTTAAGTGCATATTACCTGGCAGGAGCTGTGCCAAGCAATATGACACAGCTCTAACTTGTGTTTCCTGGAACCAGTCAGCCTGAAGACCTGATATAAATTGGAGGCTACTATTTTATCTACTATTATAAGTCCTGTAGCCTATGGAAAGCTGCTTTAATTATTTCTTATGCCAAAGAAATTGTCACATGAACTCTGTTTCTAAAGTACAAAGTGCCAATGTTTACCTCCATTTTGCATAGAAGTGTATAGAATGCTTCTCTCTTTCATTTAGTTTCACACTTTATTATCTAATCAATGAAAAAGTTGTCCCACCAAGTCCTTCAATTTCCTTTAGTTTAGTCCTCCAGACTCTCCATCCCTTTGGCTAAAAGAACAGGGCAATGAGGCTGGTATAGAACCAATAATAGAATCATACATAGTGTTATCTTGCATCCCCTGGCCTGCAGTTCATTCCACCAAAAAAATCTGTCTGCATTCATAGGCAAATATAAATCACTGTTTATAAAACTGGATTTTTTGGCTGAGCACAGTGGCTCACACTTGTAATCCCAACACTTTGGGAGGCCACTCACTTGAGCCAAAGAGTTTGAGGTTGCTGTGAGCTATGATGACAGCATAGCACTCTACCCAAGATGACAGAATGAGACACTGTCTCAAAAACAAACAAACAAAAAAAAACATGTTTTTTTTTTTTTACACAAAGATGAATAAGATTCATTCCATGTGCTCTCCAAAATCCTACAAGCAATGAGTCATCAAAACAAAACAATAGCTGTATACTACATGGCCTGGAATAAAATTCACTATAAAATGTACATTGAAGACACATATTTCTATCTGATAGTATCAGAAAAAGCTTCCTGACTTTTTAATAAGTATATTCATTCATTCAATCAACAAATACATACTGAGTACCTACTGTAAGCCAGCACTATTCTATACATGCCGTAATTTAATAAAAAAAAAAAGACAAAGACAATTTTTCTTTTCTGATAGACTTTACATTTTACTGTTGGAAATGAGAAATATATAACAAATATGTGGAAGAGGACAAGAAAAGTTCAAATAATGGTAAGTGATGTAAAGACAAAAATGGATCAATGTTGTAAGTGTGAGGGATGTTTTATAATACATAGGGTGGTCAGAGAGTTCCAAAATGAGAAAAGCCATACATACATAAAATTTCAGTGTGTGTCAGAAAATTCTAATTGTAAGAAATTGATCATAACAAGACAAAGCTAGAGAGGTAAAAAAGAGATCATGAAAAACTGTATGCTATGACAAGTAATTTGGAATTTGGGTTGAAGTCAATTAAGAACCATTAGAATTTTTTAAATTGTTCCATGAACAGGCCATGTATGCAAAGTGACCCTCAAAGTGCCCAAGAAGTAGAGAACCAAAGAATGAGACAGACAAATCCAGTTTGTCAGTATGTGATGATTTATTAGGGGGACTTCCAGATAGAAGCAGGGTCTCAGGCAGCTGCAAGACATCTCTGCACAGTAACACCACCACCCCTACCACCACCACCACCACCACCACCACCCCCGCCACAACCCAACATTTTTATCTTGGGAGAAAAGAATACATGCTTTGGAAAGACTCTGTTGGTGGCTTAGAAAATGCTCCTGGCGTACCCTGTGATGTATACAGCAACATTAAGGGGTGTTTGGAGGAAAGATGAAACTTACAATGAACAAGTGTTTCTACACGAAGAGCAATAATGTATCAGCTAGATATTTTGGAGGCATTCCCAGACTCTGGGTTAGTCAGGTGGATTAGCATTTGAAAATAAAGTCTCTCTTGACCCCACAGAGGTAAAGTAGGGAAATTCTTGCTTTAGAAGATAATTGTGGCTCAGCGCCTGTGGCTCAAGTGGCTAAGGCGCCAGCCACATACACCTAAGGTGGCGGGTTCAAATCCAGCCCGGGCCTGCCAAACAACAATGATGGCTGCAACCAAAAAATAGCCAGGCATTGTGGCAGGCGCCTGTGGTCCCAGCTACTTGGGAGGCT